TGGCGTATTCAATGCGCGTAAACTGCACATATAGGAAGCCTGCACATTTAGGTCGCTGGAGCTTTCCGTGTAATCGTAAAATTCTCTCTCATCGTTGTCCATATTAAATTCAAGCCCTGATTCCGACGGTGAGAATGACCAATCGGACGAAACTAAGTCAGAATTTTCCCTTGCATTCCCAATTGATTGACATCTTTTCCTAATTTTTCGCGCGATAGCCTTATAAGGTATCTTTGATTCTCTTAAAGACATGGGAATAGGTGAAAACGACTACAAATACAAAGAGGAAATGGGGTAGGCAATAATATCGGCGAAGGTAACGTTCGTTAGAACACGAACAATCAAAAAATGTAAATTCGTTCAAAACCGTACATTCTGGGGCTGAGCCTACTGAACTCCAGATTTATCTAGACAGACAGTCCGGTTGCGGCACTGTCTGAAAAACTCGATAACACTTTTGGATAAAGCCCCTGCGCACACCTTTTGCCCGCGCGGACAGTCACACTTGCGTCTAATTGATTTCACCCACGCTTACGTCACACCGACAAAGTTCTATTTCGGTGACTCAGCCGTTGCCTGTCGTAGACCAATCACAGTCATTAAGTAGACTGAAAGCTCCTGACAGCACTGCATCATGTGATTATCTCAGCCAATCAACATGCGGCTAATTTCTTGGCATACACATGCCGAGGATATACCGGCATAATGCATGCATATGCTATTAGTGAACCTATGCATATACGCTTGCCGCATTATTTAATGCAGCAAACAAAATAGAAATAAACAAATTTTGCAAATTTTTCTGTCTATGCTGTACGCTCGCCCTCTCTGCTACCAATTTACTGGAATCCGCCTTCCTGTGCAGTATGCTGTACGCTGATTGGCGGAGGTAATACCGCTCCCTGATAGCGCGTGTGATAGATCCAGCGACATAGAAACGCGCAAGATCATTGATTCTAGAAAACCCCTTCCAAACCTATTATCGGCGTTGTTTGTGCATGCACATATCGGCAAATTTACGCTGGTAGCCGTTTGCTCCGACCACCCGTCTAAGCTATTTCTACGGTTGCCCGTATAACTTTTGTCCGGTGTATGTGCAACCACGAAGAGGTACCGAACCGTACCTAGATCCACATATTTTTACTCCCAAATAGCAATCCAATATCTTTACTGCCCCACTTTCTCGTCTCTCGGTGGCTCTCTACTGTCACCAGCGACACTTACACACCAACTATTCAATTTCCCGCAATTCTAACACTAACACTTAGAGCTACTGCATATACCTTCATTTACCTCCGAATCTCCCTTAGCACGATTCACCCCAGACTTTAGCTCACTGTCAACTCTGATGAAGGGAGCC